CATGGAGGTACATTTTTAAATGAAATTGGAATGACAACAGTAGCAAACCTTTTTTGAAACCATTCTCTGTGCCAGGAACTCTTTAAGCACTTTATGCGTATTATCTCATTCATTCATTCACAACTCTTTGAAGAAAGATGATCTCCATTTTACAGAAGAGGACACTGAGGCACAGAGAGGCTAAATCATTTTCCCAAAGCCACACAGCTCGTAAAAGCGGTGCCTAGACAGAAAGCAAAAGCAGTTTGTCTCTGGAGCCCAGGGTCTTGACTATTCCACGATACTGTCTCACAGTAAAGATAACTTGGATTAAAGGTCATGGAATTTGCACTGTTAGCTGTGACTTGTATGGTTCCGTCTCTTTATAGATGAGGAAGTTGAAGCTCACAGACGTGACCTGATTTAGCTAACGACATAACTAGTTACTGTCAGTGCCGAAACTGGAACATGGATCTCCTGATCCGCACAGTTCACGTGCAAGCTGACTCCGGGTGATCCGTGAACCTTTGTCCGCCCTGGGTCCCGCCCTGAGACAGCTGCACCGTGCACTTGCCCTCGGGGCCGGCTCTGGATGACGTGGGGGACGCCCACAGCTTTTTTCCCAGCACGTACGTGAAATTTCACTTTGGGTTTAGGGAATGCATGGGCATCTGGTAACGATGTGTACACCTCGCCCTTCATTACCCTGCAGAGCGAGGGCTATAAAAGGCTATAAAAAGGTGTGACCCAACAATAGTTTCAGCCTTCTACCCTCATTAGACATTTTCACCTGAGATTTGCTGACAAGCAGTGAGGTAGATTGATTTGAGCTCTGAATGCTGTTGCTTTCCCCAGCCTGGACCGTCAAGGACATGCCAAGCATTGTTATAGTTTTAAAGTGAGCCAGAAGTCAGCCAGCTCTCTGTGTGCAAGCGCTCCTGGGTGTTCGAGGCTGTCCTGGCCCAGCAGTCTGTAAGGGAGGAGGCCGTTGCATTGCAACACCAGCGTTGGCTGGCCAGCTGCCGTGGGGCTGAGGATTAAAGGAAGAACGGGAGCTGACTTACTATTGCATTTGGGAAGGTAAGGTGTAAAAGCCTCCGCATCTTCCAACTTGGTGGACTTCTCCAGAGCCAAGCAGGTTTCAGTGCATTTTTAAAAATAACTTAATCTGATCTTCGAGCTCCAGAGGGCAAAAGTGGGGTCTTTAGAGTGTCCCAGACAAAGTGGAGCGAAAAAGACAAGAGTGCGTGATGATTGGTCAAAACTAATGCATGCCTTTAGAGGTGAGGCTCACGGTTACCCCTAGAGATGGGGGTGATGTACTTGTAAAAGGCGAAAGATTTATACGATCTGAAGAGAAACCAGAGTATTGGGGGTGACGTACTTGTGATGGAAGGGGGCACGGGGAGCTTCAGTTCTGGTTGTTGTTGTTGTTGTTGTTGTTGTTACTGTTTTTTACTAGGTCACAGTTATACAGTATGTCCAGTTTGTGACAGTTCATGGAGTATTGAGTTTTATTATTAAATGTGTTCTTTTCTGTATGTAAGTTATACTTCACTTAAAGTTTAAAAGTCCTAATTTGTGGGGTGCCTGAGTGGTTTGGTCAGTCAAGCATCTCTTTTTATCACGGCTCAGGTCTTGATCTTAGGGTTGTGAGTTCAAGCCCTGTGTTGGGCTCCACACTCACTGGGCCTAGAGCCTACTTTAAAAAAAAAAAAAATCCTTATTTGTATTTGTGTTGTGTTGCTGCATGTTGATTCTCAGAAAAATCTCCATTTTTTTTTCTTTTAATTTGGGAGAGAGCACGAGTGGGGGAGAGGGCAGAGAGAGAGAGAACTCCCAGGTTCAGGGTTCAGTCCCATGAACTGTGAGATCATGACCTGAGCCGAAACCAAGGGTCAGACGCTCAACTGCTGAACCATCCAGGTGCCCCAGAAAAGTTTTCATTTGGTTGAACCTGTTTGAAATGGTATAGAACTTACTACCCAGCTGTGGGGAAAACATCTCTGCCTGAAATTTTCAGGTCTGTATGGGAAGAACATCCAAGGTCACTGTCTTGATTCTATTAAAATACAACTTAAGTGATTTCGGAGTGACTCTCCTGGAATAAAGAATGATGTCATCTGAGTTCGGCAAACATTATCGATAGTCTCCTGTGAATAGGGACAGTGCTAGCACTACAGACTGGGTGTAGGTATGACAAGTCTCTTCCCTAAAGGAGCCTGTACCCGGTATTGGGGGGGGGGGGCGGTTAAAATCCATAGATGAGTGATGCCAGGATGAGTCACGTGGCACCATGAAAGCACCATGGAGGACCACAGAAAGAACAGGCAGCTTTCTGATGGACTAGGGAAAGCTTCGTGGAATAAGTGGAATTTTAAGTGGAGCTTCAAGAATATGTGGGATTTAAAAAAAAATTTTTAAGTTTATCTATTTTTGAGAGAGAGCACAAGTGGAGAAGGGGCAGAGAGAGAGAGAGAGAGAGAGAGAGAGAGAGAGAATCAAAGCAGGCTGCAGGCTCCAGGCTCCGAGCTATCAGTGCAGAGCCCTACGCGGGGCTTGAACTCACAGACCATGAGCTTGTGACCTGAGACAAAGTCAGCGGCTTAACTGAGCCACCCAGGCGCCCCTGGAATATGTGGGATTTTGATAACCAGAAGTGGATGGGTGGCAGGCATTGTGAATATCATTCATATGAGAAAATCCATAGGACATTCCCCTACATTCTGGAAACTTTGGGTTGTAAGGTTCACTTGAGATGAATGGCATCCATTAGGTGCAAGGTGAGGCCTGAAAGGTAAGCTAGGGCCTTATAGTGGCTGGGTTGTATTATTCAATTTGGGAGGCTTTGGGGAGCCAAAGAAAGTTTCTGAGAAGTAGAAAGGCATGATCAGATCAGTGAATCCCTGCAGTGATACAAATTTGTAGGCTCCTGATTGTGTGCTTACCACAGATTACCCTGTCTGCCCCAGATAAACATTTTCTAGATTTAGTGCATTCTCTGTTAATGTCATTTGAACCCATTCCTGTTTGGGTTCACTAGTGAGCCATAGATACAGAGTTTCCTTGAGCTCCCTCTGGTCTTCTCTAGGACTTGAAGATGATTATCCCATACCTTCTTTATTCCCTACGCCCACCCGTCTGTCTTGATCAGGTGACGTCAGAATTCCTCTCTCCTTTTTTCTAGTCTTACAAGTGACTTGGCATTTATTTACTTCCAGCCTTTCCTATGTGACACTCTTCTGCCAGATAAAACACCCAGTGTCTCTTATTCATAGCAAAATTGTGTGTTGGAAGAGAGGGGCCAAGAAATAATGTTAACAAACTTTTGTAAGTTGTGTAGGAGGACTGACTCACCAGCCTGGGATTGTGTCCCACTATGCCATTGGGCTCCCTTCTCTGGGAGAAAGCACTGGGCAGGATTGTGCATGGGACAGAGTGTTAATACTTCGTTGTTGGAAATGAACACATTCGAGTCTGGGTCACTTAGGCAGGGTGAGGTGTGTTAATATCTTATTAATATTTTGCTATTTCTGCCTACTGTTCCTTTAAAAAAAAATAACTTGTGCTGAATATTGTCTCCCATTTGGTTTCCAGTGAGACTCTCTATCAAGGGATTATTCTAATCAAGAGGCAGTTAACTTGACAAATCAGATGCTTCAGTTTAGAGGTTACAAATCTTTCGAGGTTGTGTTCAGACTCTGCAAAGGTTTGTCTTTAGTCCTTTGGGGACACCTTGGTAGAGTGTCCTGACACAGAGAACCCCATAAGGGTGACTTGAATTCAAATCCTGGCTCTTGATGTCTCAGTGTGTACATACATGGGTTTAACATAGTCTTTACTTGGCATGGTAGGATCAAACAAGACACATATCCATGGTACCTGGCACCCAGGCTCCCTTCGTCTTTCCCTTTCCCTTTCCCTTTCCCTTTGCCTTTCCCTTTCCCTATCCCTTTCCCTATCCCTATCCCTATCCCTATCCCTATCCCTATCCCT